GCTCTCCGGCAAGCTGGTCAAGAAACGCTGGCATAGCTTCTCGGGAAAAGGTTTCTGAATCACATGCTCGACCGTACTACCATTGTTTTTGCCAATGAAATCAAAAGGTACCGATACTCCCATGATCTCTCCTGGGGTGCGTTCTGACCAAGATTCCGTGGCGAATCCAGCGGGGGCGACGAGGGCATCCCAAGAGGCCCCAAAAAGGGGAGACGGGCGAAAGTGTTTTGTTCATGCGCTGTGGAAGTCGCCTGCGACTCCCAAGAATCGAAACGCGCTTTGGCGGGCATATTTCGTTTCGCATCGCCTTCGCGATGGAAGTTCAATGTAAAGCTCTTGCGCGCCCCCCAGTGGGAGCACTGTCCTTTCCTTGTTCACCGTTGTTTGGAGGGGTCTCCCCTTTTCGATGTTTGACCCAAAATGAGTCATCTATAAGTGTTCAGCTCTACACAAGCGAACCTGGGCCGTGACATCCTAGAATTCCAAAACGACCGATGTAACGTTATCAATACGAATTCAAAAAAAATTGTCCAACGTACTTGCAAGAAGAAAAACTTGGAGGCACCCTCCCACGCTGGATCCCCCGAGACGGGCGCAGGGCTAGCGAATGATCCGCACCTTCTTTCCTCCTCTTTGAGCAGCTGCTCCTCTTCCTCGGCCTTCTCCACCACAGCTCGAGTCTCGCTTTTCAGCCGCCGGCGCCTCGGGCCGCCGTCGCCCGCATCCTCCGAGTCGGCGTCTGCCTCGGCGTTCGCCTTGGCGAAGTTGCGCATGCGGCCGCCACGGCCGGTAGCGGCTGGGCGCAGCGGCGGGGCGAGACGCAGTGTCTGGCCATACGGTTAGGTCGGGTATGTCCTCCTACAGGCGGATGTTGGAGGAAATGTGAAAAATGGTCTAGTCAGAAATCATCGAATCATCGTTCTCGGACTAATTTTGTGACCATTTTTGAATGTTCCTCCTGAGGAGGGACGTGCCCGACTTACCCATACGGTGAGGGCCTTGGATAATGAACCGTTGGATGAGGGTTCCAGGGTCTGGAAGCTGGTGACTCCAATCGTGGACCGGGTATTGGACATCACGGCCGCCGTCCTCAGGTAAGGACCCCCCCCAGGATCTGAAGCCTCTCGGACACACTCCTCAACCAACACCCCCACCGCAGGTGCTGGTGGCGCTCCCGGGAGGTGCCTCGATGGCTCTGGCCCGTTGGGGGGCTTCCAGAATTGTTCAGGCCCGCTGGGGGCTCCCAGAGGGCTCCCCTGCCAGGCCTCTGGGAGGAGTCTGTGGATCTCTGGGGGCACGAGAGGGTCAGGATCTGCGGCGCAACCGGTGTTTACCATCCTCGCCTTCTCTGCCGCCGACGCCTTCCATTCATTTCGACGTGCGATCGGCTCGTCTCCGTTGCCGCAGATGCCCATCTACGCCGCCCCCTCTTCCCTCCCCTCCCTTCTCCACGTCCTGTCCCGCGTATTCGTCCTCTTCCACATCCTCCTCATCCTCTCCTCCTCGTCATCTTCCCTCACCCTTTGATGGCTGACTCAAGCTTCCCTTCGCGCGATCTGGTCTCAATCGTGCAGCTGCTTACGCTGGACTACGGATGACCCTTCAATCCTTCATCGGCAACCCGTGAGTCCTTCATCGGATGCTGTGCCTCCTGGCGCGTTGAGGCGTGGTATTTGTAACTAGAACCACGCGCGCGCGCTTCGCGCGCATAGGTTCTTGTCAAACACAAGTGCTCGCGCGCACTGCGCCCGTAACGGATGAGCAGAGCGGACGGGCTCGTCAGCCTAGATCACAGGCTAATGCGTGAATAGCGAAAAACCAGAAGCTTGTCGGCGAAACTAGGGTGCGGCTATGTAGCATGACCGCTTCCGCGGATTTGTCTTTTGGGAGCTTCGGGGGTCGCTGGAGGGGAGCCAACCATACATACATACATCTGTATACATACATACATACATACATACATACATACAAACATACATACACACATACATACATACACACCCATACATACACACATACATACATACATACATACATACATACATACATACATGCATACACACATACATTCATACAGACACGCAAACATACATATGTGCATGCATACACACATACACATATACATATATATACATACGTGCATAGATACGTTCATATATATATATATATATGTACACAGACATACATGTACACACATACGTACACATATACATACATGCATACATGCATGCATACATACATACATTCATGCATACATGCGTGTACGCATGCATGCACGCGCGCACGCATGTATGCATGCACATTCATTTACACACATGCATACAGGTATGCATCTATACATGCATGCATGCATGCATGCATGCATACATACAAACATGCATACATCTGTACTTACTTATGAAAAACGTGCATATATATATATATATATATGCATACAGTCATACACATACGTGCACACATACATACAGGCATGCATGCATGCATGCATACAGACAGGCAGACAGATAGGCAGCCAGACACACATACATGCATGCATGCATGCTTGCAGACATACATACATACACATAAGTACACGTACACACATACATGCATACATACATCCATCCAGACATACATACACTCGTATACAAGCGTGTACAGTTGTGTTAAGAATTATACGCAAACATATGCACCATCCACCCCTGCGACACCCTCCTCCTGTCCCCCAACCACGTCTTCCGTTCTTGTCCTGGGGCTGGTTCTGGTCAAACTTCCCAGGTGGAGGGGAGCCGACCATATATACATACATCTGTATATAGCATGCATGCAAACATACATACAGACAGGCATACATACATACATACACACCCATACATACATACATACATGCATGCATACACACACGCAAACACACATACCTGCATGCACGCATACATACACATATACATACATAGGTACATTCATACATACAAGCATGCATACAGATGCACACCTACACACGTACACATATACACAAATACATGCACTCATGCATACATACATACATTCATGCATGCACGCATGTATGTATGCATGCATGCACGCGCGCACGCATGCATGCATGCACATTTACATCCATAGAGGCATACAAGCATGCATCCATACCTACATGCATGCATACATACATACACGCAAACATGCACATCCAAACATGCATACATCTATACTTACTTACAAACGTGCAGGTATGCATACAGTCGTACACATACATGCACACATACATACATGCATGCATGCATGCATGCATGCATGCATGAAAGCATGCATGCATACAGACAGACAGATAGGCAGCCAGACACACATGCATGCATGCATGCATACATACACATACATTCAGTTACACACACATACATGCATAATTACATACATCCATACATACATACACTCGTATACAAGCGTGTTCAAGTGTGTTCAGAATTATACGTATAAGTATGCACCATCCACCCCTGCGGCACCCTCCTCCTGTCCCCCAACCACGTCTTCCGTTCTCGTCCTGGGGCTGGTTCTGGCCAAACTTCCCAGGCGGAGTCAGCGTGGTGAAGTGAGCGCCCCAGGGGGCCCAAAAGGTTTCGAAAAGGCCCGACAATCTCGATCCTCGAAGCTACCCCATCCCCACTTGACCTCTGCCGGTCCCCAGCTCTCCTCCTCCTACTCCTCCTACTCCCACTCCTCCTCCTCCTCCTCCTCCTTCTCACTATCATTCTCCTAAAGCTCGTCCCCCTTCTTTTCCTCCTCATCCTTCCCTTCCTCCCCCTCCTCCTCCCTCTCCTTATCCCTCGCCCTCGCCCTTGCCTAACGACGCCCTTCCTTTCCCTGCCTCCACCTCCTTCTCCTCCTCCTCCTCCACCTCCTCCTCCTCGTCATCATCATCATCATCATCATCATCATCATCATCATCATCATCATCATCACCATCACCATCACCATTACCATTACCATCATCATCATCATAATCATCATCATCATCATCATCATCGTCATCGTCATCGTCAGCATCATCATCATCATCATCATCATCATCATAATCTTCATCAGCATCAGCATCATCACCATCACCATCACCATTACCATTACCATCATCATCATAATCATCATCATCATCATCATCGTCATCATCATCATCATCATCATCGTCATCGTCAGCATCAGCATCAGCATCAGCATCAGCATCAGCATCAGCATCAGCATTATCATCAGCATCAGCAGCATCAGCATCAGCATCAGCATCATCATCACATCATCATCATCATCGTCATCGTCAGCATCAGCATCATCATCATCATCATCATCATCATCATCATCATCATAATCTTCATCAGCATCAGCATCATCACCATCACCATCACCATTACCATTACCATCATCATCATAATCATCATCATCATCATCGTCATCATCATCATCATCGCATCGTCAGCATCAGCATCATCAGCATCAATATCAGCATCAGCATCAGCATCAGCATCAGCATTATCATCAGCATCAGCATCAGCATCAGCATCAGCATCATCATCATCATCATCATCATCATCATCGTCAGCATCAGCATCATCATCATCATCATCATAATCTTCATCAGCATCAGCATCATCACCATCACCATCACCATTATCATAATCATCATCATCATCATCATCATCATCATCATCGTCATCATCATCATCATCATCATCGTCATCGTCAGCATCAGCATCAGCATCAGCATCAGCATCAGCATCAGCATCAGCATCAACATCATCATCATCATCATCATCATCATCAGCATCATCATCATCATCATCATCATCCCCTTCCCCGTTCCCACTGGGCGCGAGGCGGCGTGCGCGCGAGGGCGCGCCCACCCCGGCCTGGGCCTCCACCAGCCGCGGAGTCGGCGCCCGCGGCCCCGGCGGCAGCCGAGGACACCGCATCGCCGGCGCCCGACACCGCATTGGTCGCCTTCGCGCCAAGCGCCGCGCGGACCGCGGGATTGCCGTCAGAGGCTGGGAAGCTCCTCCCCAAACATGCTCGCGTCGTGAAAAAAACATGATGGGAGGTTTTCGGCCGTGTTGGGCCTGCGGGGGCCTCCTCTATCGGGCCCTGGGACCGTCAAAAAAAAAATACTCAGGATGAAAAACGGGTCCCAGAGAAAAGGTCAGGACATCCGGGAACCCCGCATTGAAAAAATCAAGACGTCGCATGTCTGGGTCCTCTCCCGTCCCCACTCCACCGTCGCGCGCACGACCGACGCCAGCGGCCAAGCGCCCGACCGACGCGAGAATGGGGCCCCCTGGACGCCGCCAGGGTGCATTTTCAAATACGGGGAGGAGGAGAGGGAGGCCACCTTACCATCCGAATCATACTAAAGCCCGAGGAGGAATGCAGGAATGCAGTAAGAAGCCCGCGTCTGCTCACAACAGGCAGCTCTACCAGAGACCCCTTCTGGGAGGAAATCAGGGACGCAGCAGGAGACCCTTCCTGCAGGGCACACCTGGAGGCAAAACTACCACTGGACCCGAGGCGCCGAGGAGTGGCTGCCGAGTCTTGGGATGGCGGCCCGCTTCCAGCTGGGCCAAGACCCGCCGCCGAGAAGGAGGGAGGCCCAGAGGGCCAGGGCCGGGGGCCAACAAAAACGGCCCTGCCCGCCCTGACGGACCCGCAAGGCCCCGCGCCGCCGCCCCCCGACGACCGCACCCGTGACGGGAGCGTCGCAGCCCTGGAGCGTCAGAATCCTCGACGGCGGCCGAACGACGGACCCCCGCGGGCCAGAGGGAGGCCCCCGACAGGGGCCCCCTCCCCGCCCCCGCGGGCAGACCCAGGGCCCCCGCCGAGAGACCCAGCAGGAGCCGTCCCAGGGCACCTCCCCGGCCCTCGCCCCCCCCCCAGGGGCAGGCACGGGCCCTTCCCCCAACGGCCCCAGCCGAGCAGCCCGGCCGCAGCCGACCCGAGCGGCAGAGGCAGCAGGAGCCTCACCCAACGAGGAGCCCACGGAGTCCCCACCACTGGCCATCGCTCGGACGTTCGTTCCCTGTGTTTTTGTCGGTTTCGTGCGTGGTTCTTTCGCAGGATAATCCAGGATGTTCCTTAAGAATCCCCGCCGAGAAAAAGTGCACACCTCCAAGCAATAGCAAGACCAGGCCCCCCAACACGAGCCCCAGGGGGAGCCTCGACGGGGGAAACAGCGCCACCCTCGAGAACATGGGCTGGCATCTCCGATATCACCGAAGGGCGGCAAAGCCTGCCCGTCCCTCCCACAAGCTGCCATCCCGACTCCGTGGTACACGCAGACCTGCGGCACCTTCGACGCATCAATCTGACAGGCATCTCGACAAGCTCATGTTCGTGCAACGCCAGACTTCTTTATGTCTCTCAAATGTTGAGGCTTGCGAGTCGAGGCAGGGGCATGTGTGAGCTCCGCCTTGTCAGCCCACAGCTCCAACCTGCAACTACGCTAGACAGCCCAAGCCTGGTGCCTAGCTAACTTTCGGGCCCCAGCGAGGGCATCCTCAGAGAACCTTGCGTGCCCCTCAGGAATCTTCACTGACAAGGCCCCTAACTTGGCGACATAATCGGCCCAACTGCTTCCCACGTGCCGCACATGCGCAGGAGGGGGGGGGCCTCAGGAGCGGGGACGAGGACCTCAGTATCCGTCTTGTGGGCAGGGTACCAGGCAAACTTAGGAGGCCCACGGCGGTCCAGAGCCACAAGCTGTATCCAGACCGCAGGGTACGCTCAAAGGCGCCGCCACGCCAAGCGCCACCCTCTCGCACAAACTCGAGGAGGTCCGGCACGATGAGACGAATAGAGGGCATGTTCCCCAAGGCTTGCAGAACACATCCTCTCGGCTCGTCCAATAGTCTGCTGAGCGCCTGCGAAACCACCGTGCACAGCGCGGGATGGTGCTTCATTGGCGTCCAGCACCACTGGTGGCCAGCCGCATCGGCGCAGCTTAGGGACACCAGTGTGATATCCTGAGCCGTCGGCGAAACAGATATCACCCAGAGATTCTGGCGGCGACGCCCAACCGCCCTAGCAACATGCGGCTGCCTCCTTAGGCGGGAGCGGCGCATCGAGCTTCGGCCACCTCGGGATCCCGATGGCCAGCGCCACAGAATCGACGTCCTGGCGGCCCTCCCCAATAGGCCCATGCTGCATCATGGCATCGCGAGCTGCGGCCAGCTGTGGGCTGAGGTCCTTCGCCTCGCCATGCAGCGAACTCAACTTGTCGCCCGTGGCCCCGTGCCCCTGCACCGAGAACAAATCGCCCCTGGCGGACTCCATGCCGCCCTTCGCCGCTGCAGGGCGCCATCGCCATAGCCATCGTGGGTACATGCACGGCACAAGCAATCGCGAACAACACAATCAGGCCACGCGCACTCTTACGCCTTGCACGACCAGCTGCTCGAAGCCGCCGCCAGCTTGCACGCCGCGCTACGAACGTGGCCCTCGTCGGCAGGAACCTCAACTCCTGTTTCCTCCAAGCTGGTACGCAGCGCCTCGATCGGAGAACTGTCAGCCGCCCGATTGAACTTCTTCGCATCGGGCAGGCCCCCTTTGCTGCCCTCCTCACCCCCCTCACCAAGCGCAGCACCAGGCCAATGGCGGACAGCATAAGGCCTGCGAAGCACGCAATCCGCCAGCTTCGGGCGGGACGCGATCTTCTCAGCAGCTTCGACCGCGGTACCCAGCTCCGACAGCACCTTGCCCAGAGCCCCGAGGTCGAGGTCGGGCCCGCCCTTGACGTCCTCCTCCGTCGCGTCGGGAGGCTCGGGGACCACGTCATTGGTCTCCCGCACCTTCTGCTGCAACTCCGTAGCTTCAGCTCGCAGCGCCGCTCCAAGCTTCTGCTCCTCCTCCAACTTTTCCTTGGCTTTGGCCACCGCTTCGGTCGCCTTTGCCACAGCAGAACCTTGCTTCGCGATGGCCTCCTGCTTGGATTTGGGCTTCTTGTGCAGGGAGAGCAGTTGCGTACCAGTGGCTTCTTATACCTGGTCGCATCGACAAGCTGGCGCTTATGTTCATGTGTGTGCTCGATGCAGCCGAGTCTATAGGTCGCCGGGCCCTTGATGACCTTGAGACAGCGCAGCTGCTCCTCGAGGACCTCGAGTTGTTTTTTGCTGAAACGCATCGCCATCATAATCTCCCTCCGCTGCCGCCGCGGCAACTGCAACACGAGGGCCTCCTTTCGTAGTAGCCGAAGCACACTGAACCTTGACCTCCTCCCGTAGGCGAGCCAACTGGCTCTGCATACCCATGTGTTTCGATGCGTTTTCGGGCCAACCATCCGTATCACGCCGTCCACCGGCAGGCACCAGACTGGCTGGCTGACGCCAAAATAATCCCATTTCACCTCTGGCCTGCCCCTAGGAACACTCAGACTTGTCGCCGCCACAAAATTGAGAAGCCTTTTGCGGCCATAACGTGAGACATGGCATGCCCAATCTGGGCCCGCGATCATACTTGCAGTACTTGTGCTACCAGTCAGGTTTGCCCAGTCACGCGGCCCAGGCGCCATGGTTCCAGACACGAGGAGGCCAGCAGCAGCCAGGCCACCAGGGAGGCGTGGGCCAAGACAGCACAGAGTCCCCAACGGGGGTGCAACACGTTGGAACAAGCCGCGGACTAGGGGTATCCACTTTGCCCCCAAGTGAACTCAACATTTTTAGCCACAATGGCCCAATGGCTACGAACTGACGCCCAAGGAGAGGAGGAGGAGGTCGAGGGAGCGGCCGGGCCGCTCAAATGATGTAGACGTTCAGCGCCAAATTGACATAGACGTAGTAACTTGTGTGTAACGGTGTACTTGTATACCCCTTCTCCAACATGCTTATAGGTAGCTCCTCCTTTTGGCAAAACCACACGTGTCGTCAGGGTCGGCGTTTCGCCTGAGACTCCCTCACAAGCGATGACCTCCAAGCTGGACGTGTTCAACAGCCACCCTAGCACAGGTGGCGCTCAAAACTATGCTCTCGCCGTTGCAGACACCTCCATCAATCACGCGGACGTGCACCAACAGTGTTCCATAGGGGCTCTCGCCCTGGCGCCGCGCACACTCGTCTCAAACGTGTCCAGCGGTCGCGCGGATGATGGTGGTTCCCTTGAGCTTGGGACTTCCAAGTTCTATGCGCCGAAACCCAAAAAGTGTGCAACAGCTACACGGACAGAGGCGGCGGCGGATGCTTTGAAATGCGGCTCTCGCTCGAGGACTTCTCGAACTCGTTGGTATGAAATTTGAAACTGCCAACACTTACACGGCTGACACGGACGGAATTGAACACCCAGAGCTCTCGCTGGCCACTTCCTTGCACTGCATGGCCCTGCCTCTTCACCATCCTCATATCTGGAAGGGTGGAACGTGAAGCCTTTCCAGCTGACAAAACTCATGAATGGGGATTTAGGACGGGAGGTTTGCTGCAGCATCGTTGGGACATCTTGGGCTACTCTTGTCCTCTTCCTCCTCCTCCACCTCCTCCCCCTTCTTCTCCTCTGCATCCTCTTTCTCGTCCTGCTCCCGCCGTCCGCCGTCCCCAGTCGCCACTCTTCCTTCTTCTTCCCCTTCGCCCTGGGTCCTCCACCCCTCCTCCTCCTCCTCCTCCTCGTCCTCGTCCTCCTCCTCCTCGTCCTCATCCTCCTCCTCCTTGCCCTCTTCCTCCTCCTCCTCCTCCTTCTCCTCTGCCTCCTCCATCTCGTCCTGCTCCCGCCGTCCGCCATCCCCAGTCGCCACTCCTCTTTATTGGCGGCGACACCGACGACGGAGGCGACGACGAAGGCAGCGACGGCGGCGGCGGCACCGCCGCGACGACGACGACGACGACGACAACGACGACGACGACGACGACGACGACGACGACGACGTTCACTTCGCCCTGGGTCTCCTCCTCCAACCCGTCGGTCTCTGGAGGCCTCCGGGGGGCGCCTCTGGAAGCCTCTGGAGGCCAGAAAAGGGTGCATGAACGTGAAGAAAGCTCGATCCTCGATACTCGATGCTCGATCCTCCTCCTCC